TAATATATCTTTACGAATGAATTAATTTTATCAAACTTCTCATCGATTTGAAATGATCCGCTTACATTAACAATTAATTATTAATTGAAAATAAATGATTTATTATTAATAAATTTTCACTTATCCTAGCATAGGATGAGAAATTTGATTGGATTTCTTATCAGCAATAACTGCTTAATTGTCAGTGATAGCAAAAACTCACTTGTAATTAAAAGATTCAAAAAAAAATTTCATTTATTATTGTTACATTATCATTCAGTAGAAAAATTATACAATTTTTCGCTAAATTTCACATCCATTTGCTAAAACAAGATTTTATCATAGCATTACTTTACACTTTCCAACACTTATTGATATTATCAAATCTTACAATTATGCTTTTGTTTTTTATTCAAATTTAATATAGCTATCTTTCTAACTATTTAATATTAATTATTAGATATAAATCTAATCATTCATAAAATTATTCTAATCTAAATTTGCTCTAGTATCATTAACTTATACGTGTTTTACTTTTTGACATAACCTAACCTAATGTAACATTTCAAAGAAATTATCATATCTTTTCAGAACGATGATACTATCAATTGTGTTTTGCATTGGTTTGCTATCTTTTTCAATTATTCAAACAACAACTGGATGTGATGTCATTGTACGTGTAAAATCACTTACTCAAATACCATTTCAAGCACAAATTACTGCTCCAAATGGTAAAAGTAGTGAAAGGTTATTTTTATCTTTTTTTTTTTACTGATAATTGAATTTTTTTCATTTAACTAATTAATGAACTAAATAATGTGTTGTTAGTGACATCAGAAAAAAAATCATACTTTTGACAGTGTATAGTTCCTATTTGTGGATAAAATATTTAATCTTATTCAACTTGAAGAACAAAATACTCCATAATTTCATCTAACATAATAATAGCTATGAAGGATATTATGTTTTGTTCTTGGTTAAATGGATAATAGAGAATTCATGCATGTATTCGAATAGTGTGTACTTCAGACTTTTAATTCAATTCAATTTTACCAAAAATTTTATTAGAATAGCACTAAATCAATGGTATTTCAGGAAACTTTTAAAAAAAACCGAACGGTTAATCTTTCAAGAAAAAGCAGACGAATGTGGCTTGGGACCATTTCAAATAAAAACATTTTCGGAAGGAGGCGTTAGTAAAAAAGAGGAAAAAGTAGAGGTAAGCTTATCATTTTTATATAAGTTACCCACGGCATGATAATTTTTATCAGCACATATATAATTTGAAGTGAAGAAATTCAATTTCATTCAAATTAGTAACAATATCTATTTCAGTGATAAAGGATGAGAACAAAATGATTTAAGTTTTATATTATTTATGTAATTGTTGATATATGTAATAGTACATGTATTACAATATTACAATAATATACATAATATTATTATTACTAACTAAATGTATAAGTCAATTATACAGGTAACATTGAATGGGATCGGTGCAGTGAACTATGAAGTTGGAGATGATCTAATACCGAAACAGGTATTTCGACAAGGAATCAGATGTGAGGGACAATGTGCGCCGTTAGGCGTTCCTCAACAACATAAGGCAAATGCAACTATGAAAGTATAAAAAAATATTTACGTCGCATATGTTTATTTGCTAAATTATTTCACGTTTATCACGCATTCATAACACGTATCAAAATAAAAATTAAAAAAAAAACAACGATAAAAACAATGACAGTGTAAGCAAAAGAAGAGAGGAATGATAGTAACATTTTTTTTTTTTTAAGAGATAAATAAATTCTATGATTTCTGCTTATGAACTCTCAACTAAGCATTGCTATATGAAATCATTTTATTGAAATAATTAACAAGTGCTACTTGTTATTTTTATTAAATCTTGATCAATTAGATTGCAATTTTTTTTTTAAATAAACAGTTCATATTAACTAAAAATATTGTAACATTCGCTTTTTTTATTCGAGATTAGTAAAGCAAGAATGATTATGATGAAATAATGTATAGTTGGTGATAATAATTATCAATAAAAATATTGAAAGGAAAAAATCCCAGAGTTGAAATTGGAATATTGAGCAATTTTTTTTGGCAAATCATTGACAATATAAATAAATATAAAGATTGTAATAATATTGCATTAGATTGAAGACATTTTCATGTTTCAAAATTATCCATCAAGTTGAATATCAATCATAGATTAAGTTTTTGATGCTGAATATTAAAGACTGAATAATATAAATGAACAATAATAAATAAAATTTTTTAGCATTATGACTTGTAAAATTAGGTCTAATTATGTAATATACAAGAGGATGTTGATACTAACAAAAAAAAAATGAATAAATTAGAATTAATTAGAGTGAGCGGGGATTGAAAAAGTGGAAGAATGTTGAAGGACTTCAAAACTGATATAGATTTCAATTAAATTAATAAAATTTTAAGAGAGAAATTAAAATGAACATAAAGTCAGATTTTTTTTTTAAAAAAATACTGCAATAACATGAACATTGAAATGGTTTGAAATAGTGACTGCCTCAATTAATCAATATATGTGAAAGAAAAGATAAATTTTGAAGAAAATTTAAAAATCCTCCATCAAGAAATGTTACAAACCATTCTTGAGTAATCTCATCCTCCGCTTCCTCCTCCCCCAAAAATAAAAAATTGCAAAATACAGTACCGGAATTTCAATTTATTTTTGAAATAATAGAGAATCTATGAAAAATGAACTGTACCGATTTCTGCTATCTCTCTTCCCCATAACTCTCGTATTGGTATAAATAAGGTAATAAAAATTTACAGAGCAATAAAGCAGTAATATGATACACGCGTAAATTATAACGTAATCAATTAATATTGTTTGTAATCAATAGTAATCAATAGTTGCATCATTTAACATTGTATATGACCGATTATCATATTAAGCAGGGTAATGATTCGACGATTTTAATGATAATTTTGATAATGATTAATTGTATCAGTGCTATCATATGATTCATATCTCCCTTGGCACGGGATAATTCTCTGAAACAAAAATGAAAAAGAAATAATGAAAGTATCGAAAAAAAGAAAATAAGCAAAAATCAATTAAGAGTTAATGATTTAGCAAAATATACTCATCCGAAGATATTTTCATCTCTATTTTTCCGCTGTAGAGAAGATAAATGATAAAATTCGCAAATGATAAATTTTTAGTCGAGATTCATTTATAGGAAGATAAAAACTTAATTAAAACAACAAACCTCTCAACATTTTCCGCCTTTTTCTATCAATCCTGAAATAAAATGCAGCAACGATAATGCTAGCAATAATCATTAGCCATGCAATGACTACAAATATGATTAGCCAAGGCGACCAGGCCATTTCCTTTTCACAACTTACGAAATTCAAAACAGCCGTAGGCTAAAATGTTACCTACTTTCATGCTAACTATGCTATATGGATAAATGCAACAATCGTAGTTCAAATACATTATGGATTAAATTTTGCTGAATTAAATATTTCAGTACATTATGAATTAAATTTTGCTCAAATTTCATTTCAATCATTTCCTATCTCAATTTTGATCATCGAATAAATTACAATAAAACAAAAGTAAGAATTATAATCAGGTTAGCTAGCAAATTTTTCACTTGTACAAATTTAGCAAGTATGCAAAGTAAATCGGATGATATCGAAATATCATCCGATTTACTTTACTTACTTGAAGCATTTAAGATATATATAGCTATGCGTTTAACCGGTTTGTCATTTTTCCATTCCCATGAGAAGACATATACACAAACAAATGTCAATAACGATGATTGTTGAACAGAATTGTTGTCAAATTACAAGAAATTCTTTTGTATGTTAAAAGAAAATTCATTCAATTATTTGTCAAATTGTTGAAAAATATATTGGTGAATGTTGAATGGTCTGAATTGCAATGGAAAAGAGTTTCAGTTAAAATTTCTCTAATAATTGATAAATTTTCGCATTTTTTCTTTTCATTTATTTTCCAGTATTGATCTGGAAAGAAAAAACTAACAATAACTAAAAACTATCATTTACTCATATTCCCATCTAATATTCATACATTCAATAATGCTAATCACTATAACAATAGCAGTAACCATAATTAATAGCAATAATAGTAATAATAATAA